GAGCTCACACATTCTTTGTAAAATTTTGAGTTTTTAAGCCCGTGTCGCACAAAAAGTATTCAGTACATCGGGCTCAAATTCCTTGGGACAGTTAATCGTGCTGTGCCATTTCATATTCAGGACTAACATGCTTGAAGTTCCATCAAAAATCGTATCGCTTATGCTACTGAGGCGCATATTGTAAACAAAAATTCTCCTATCATTCAGCCAAACGCTTACCGGCAGTTTCCAGTAGTTGACGGCGATCTTGGGAGCCAGCTGATTTTTCCACAGAGGTAACTTTCCACTGTCAATACACTGCAAAAAAACAAAAATAATAAAAAATAAAATAAAAAAAAATAAATGAATAATAATAATAATAACGATAATAATACATAATAAAAATAAATGAATAAAAAATAAACCGATTTTGTTTAAATAGACCTGAATCGCTAACGCACTACACCTTAAATAATAAAATGAACTTTCAGAAGCAAGGAGACATGATTCAATGCTATGGATGGTAATCCTGCGTGTTTGCACTTGCTTTTATTCACGCAATGATCTTCTGTACGTTAATGTCTTTTAACCTTGGTTTTACAAGCTGAACATAGCGTTTACATCAGCACATACCTCCAGACAGTGGGTGTAAGTTTTTACCGCCTCTTCCTCCAAATATCCAACAAATCTGTGACAGAATTTGGGGCTTATCAAGTATGCCAGGAAAAACAGGTTCACAAACACACCTAAGATGTATAAAAGGCAAGAAAAACAGGTCAGAAGGTCTTTCCTCAATAAGAAGTGCATTTCGTGTAGCACATTTATCCTATCTTCAAGTAGGATCTGAATTTGGCGCTGTAGAGTGATGTTGTCAGGCGGTTGTTCAAGCGTAAAATACATTCTAGTGTATGCAACGATTTTATACCATGCTATAGAATAAACAAATTGATGTCAGTTGTTATGCGTCTGTCTTCTTATTGATGATAAATTGCGTCATCATTGTCAAAGTGCATGGCTGTGGAACCACGAGCCGCAGGCGACTGGTTCCGCAGTAAACTTTGACAATGTTATGACGCAATTTATCATCAATAAGAGGACATACGCATAAAAAACTGACGTCAATTTGTTCTTTACAATAACAAGACCCCAAAATGGTCAAATGCCGGGAATAAATGAGGGGAAAAGACGCCGTAAACTTGCCGTAAACAAATATAAGTGAATTTTATTCAAAATGACACGAGCATTGTCAATAGCTTTTCTCGCTTTTCATTGGCTACTTAAAAAAGTCCAAAAAATCTCATTGGTTAAAAAGTTGACAGTTTGACAGCTTAAAGTTGAACTTGAAAACTTGCATAAATTAAAATTTTATCCATCTGTACTCTCATTGATGATAAAAATGAGCCAATCAGAGGGCGAGAAATTAGACAGTTGTTGTAAAAAATACAATGGCCAACACAATGAATAGGACACACGGGCGGCGCATGATGGGAAGGTTGGACGTAATACCGCCTAATATACAATGGCTTTCCTGTATTCTGATTGGCTGTATTTTCTATGGCTTGGTATAAACACACGTATGTACGTATGATCATATACTGTATCAAGAGAAATATGATTTTCTCCTCATTGTATCTAGTAAACCCGATGATAATGGTTTGAGCACTGATTACTTGGAAGGCAAACCATCCGGGACCCATTAGGAAGTAAAACAAATGGCGTTGACGAAGACGAAAATGTATCATGAAATACAATGAGGGGCTTAGCTTTTAAAATTACGAAAATCGCTTTGTAACAGTGGGGCATTTCTGTTTTCAGTTTTGAGCGAAAACATAAAACACAAATGCTCACTCAATGATGATAACCGTTGTAATACCTTGAATAGAAGCTATACTCTTACAGAATAAAAAAAAAACCCGGCACAATGAGTGGTACTGAGTAGCTTGCGAAGAAATTGAGTCACAACGTTACGTGTGAGTGAATACATGACATCATCTTTAATACCTTGGGCGAGAAGGATAGTGCCGCGGAAAATAACTCCAGGTTGCTTCATTTCCAAAGCAGTCATCAAGTGCATTCTCTCGTTTTCAGCTTCCTCTAAAAGAACAAAGAGACCTTTATTTTGATGTGATAAAACCCAACTTTGAATGGAAAGTTGGAAATAGGGACACTTGAAAGCGTCTGCTGGAAGTGCACTAACCACACAGCGCCAGCGTCCATGGTCAAGAGAGACGTTCTTTGTCAACAATAACGAGTTCATAGGCTGATCGCAGACCTGTCTTAGAGATCTAATGGATTGACGTGGTTTCGTGGCTTACCTAACAGTGTATGTATCCATCCATTGTCTCTTGTCAGCCTCCTCAATGCGTGAAAGTGTCTTGTCATGGCGCCGATCATTCCAGGGACCCCAGCTATTGTTTCCAACATGATGATTCGACTGTGGATTTATCCAAGAGTAAATGAAGTGAGAATTGAACCAGTGAGGATATCGCCCATTATATAAACTGTACACAGCCTTCGAAATGCCTTCTCCATTGAAGTGGACTCCAAAATCCCTCGCGGATTAATAACGTGATTTGGGCTAATCTGAGTTAATTTAGTACAATATGACTTTTCAAAGAATAGCACGAATTCGAAGTATTAAAGGAGATATACGTCACGGTTTGCATATCTTGGTCAATCTTCTCCATCCTCGACTATCCTTGTTCCCTTATTAAGGTTTGAAATTATCTCTTTGGTGTTTTTCTATCTTAGCAAACTATTATTTTCAGGTTCCCTCAACTTAAAGTTAATTTTGTACTTGGCCAAAATAAACCAAAATACTGCCACTGAGCTCCTT